TCTGTATTCCATTACAATCCTGACTTGTGCAGCAAGTGTATGTATTCTATTACAATCCTGACTTGTGCCTTGTAGATGGTGGACAAGCACTGGATAGACAGGAGGTGAGTTGCTCACTGCAGCATTCCTAGCTCTGACATGCTTTTGAAGCCACAGTATTTGTATGACTGAGCCAGTTCAGTTTCTGGTTAATTGTAACCCCTCTGCCCCAATGTATAATAGTGCTGGGTGGTACCTGATGTCCACAATGTCTTCTTCCTGGTTAGTAGTGTAAGTTGAGTTGCTTTCACCTGTAAATGTGCTATGCCTCTTAATCACAGTGTTTGCATACATTAGCAATGACCGCAACTGCAAAAATTTGGTCTGATCTTCCTCAAATGTGTTATTAGTTAAGCATTTCCATGCACCTTTCAGCACCAAATGTTTTACAGTACAACTGATTAGAAGGGCAAGGTAAGAACGGTAAAGGCACAAAGTACAAAGGCGCAAAGCATGAACTGACAGCAGGACCAATTTTGTTTATTAATCAACGGGATTTAAGGATTGAAAGAGAAATAGAAGAATGATTCAGAGGAATGAATTGGAGACAAGTTAGATAGACAACAGAAAAAGTAAAAGGGAATGACTGGATTATGGACAGGAAAGAGAGGGGGAAGAAAGGAATATTAACAGAACATAAAGGTATCATATTGAGTACATTTGAACCAGGAGCATGAGCAGGCCATTTAGCCCCTTGACCCTGCTCTGCCATTTAATAAGATCATGGCTGATATGATAGTAACCTCAACTCCATATTTCCACATTCCTCAATAAACTTTCCCTTCACAAGAATCTATCTACCTCTGCCTTAAAATATTCAAAGATTCTGCTTCCACCATATTTTCAGGAAGAGAGTTCCAAAGACTCATGACCATAACAGAGAAAATAATTCTCCTCATCTCTGTTTTAAATGGATTACTCCTGATTGTTACACACTCAAGACCCAAACATCCTTTCAACAGTTGGTAGATTTAGAGAGGTGGTTACACAGCAGGATCAGTCAGATAGATGGATGACTGTCAGGAATGGTAAGGAGGTAGTTCAGAAGTCTCCTGTAGCTACTCCTATGTCAAATAGATGTTTCGTTTTGGGTAGTGTTGAGGGGGATACTGTCTCAGAGTAAAATAGAAGTGGCATTCAGATCTTGGGTACTAGAAATGAATCTTACGTTAAGTGGGGTTTGTCAAGATTTAAAAGAATAATCGTTATAGGGAACTGTCCTGTCAGGGCACAGACAGGAGATTCTGCAAGCTTTACTATGAATCTAGAATACTATGTTGCCTTTCTGGTTCCAGGGGAGAGTTTGAAACTGGAAGTTGTTGGTAGGAACTACATAGTTAAGGAAAGTGTTAAGGCTTTGCAGTGTGAATATAGGAGATTAGGGAGAAGGTTAAAAAGAAGAACCTCAAAGGTTTTCTCCATGGTTTGCTCCTGGTGCCATGTTCCAATGAGAGTAGGAATGAAAAGATAGGGCAGATAAATTAACGGCTGAAGAGATGGTGTAATGTACAAGGATTCAGATTTTTGGATCACTAGGTTCCAGAAAAGACCTGTTCAAAAGGGATGGGTTTCAAATGAACTGGAAAGAGACCAATATCCTGGCAGGGATATTTGCTAGTTCTAATTTGGGAGTCTTTAAACTAGTAGAGAGGCAGGGTGGGGGGATTCCTAGGCAGTAGTAAAAATAGAAAGACAGATGAGGATATTTTGAATCAGAAAAGAACAAATTAATTAGAAAATGCAGACAAGAACAAATTAGAGAACAAGACAACTCTAATGAATTAAGTGGCATTTATTTCAAAGCAAGTAGTCTTAAGGTAAGGCTAATGAACTCAAGGCACGTATGGGAATATGGGACGGGGACATCATAGCTATTACAGAAACTTGGCTGAAAGAAGGACAGGACTGGCAGCTCAGCATTCTGGGTTTTAGATGCTATAGGAAGGATAGAAAGGGAGGCAAGAAAGGAGGGGGAATTGCATTTTTGATTAAGGAAAACATTACCACTGTGCTTAGAAAGGATATTTCTGAGGGATCATCCAGTGAAAATATATGGGTTGAAATTAGAAATAAGAAACGGATGATCACCTTGATGGGATTGTACTATAGACTTGCCCCCAATAGTCTGAGGGAAATTGAGGTACAAATGCTTAGAGCAATCTCAGATATATGTAAGAATTATAGTGTTGTAACTGTTGGGGATTTTAATTTTCCAAACATTGACTGGGATTGGCATATTGTTAATGGCTTGGATGGTGAGGAACCTATTAAATGTACTCAAGAAAATTTTCTTTATCAATATGTAAATATACCTATTAGAGAAGAAGCAAAACTTCACCTTCTTTTGGGAAATAAGGCAGGTCAAGTGGCTGGAGTGTTAGAAGGGGAATTCTTTGAAATTAGTGATCATAATTCTATTAGTTTTAAAATAGTTATTGAAAAGGATAAGTCTTCCATAAAAGTTAAAGTTATTAATTGGAGTAAGGCAAATTTTAATGGTATGAGTCAAGAACTTTCAAAAGTTGATTGCAGTAGACTGTACACAGGTAAAGGGATGACTGACAAGGGGGAGGCTCTTAAAAGTGGTATAACAAGAGTTCAGAGGCATTATGTTCCTGTTAGAGTGAAGGGTAAAGCTGGCAAGAGCGTGGAACAACCTGGCCAAGACTCTTGGGACCTTGTATGTTTCAATCAAGTCACATCCTACTTTTCTAAACTCCAATGATACAAGTTTAGCCTATCCAAACTTCTGCCATAAAAGACATATCACCTTATATTTTTATTTCCTTTTCTGGCCAGAGAGGTGGGTTTTAACAAAGTAATTTTAAAAAACAGTTTTCCCCAGCTGGTGAGTCGGGAACCAGGGTCCATAATCTCAGAATAAGGGTTATGGCTTTTAAGGCTGAGATGAGGAGGAATTTCTTCAGTCTGATGATAGTAAATCTTTGGAATTCTCTACCTAAAAGGTAGATGAAGCTCAATCATTGATTAAGTTCAAGACAGTTTCTGGAAACTAATTAGACATGGAGGTATATGGAGATAGTGGTGAACATGGAGGTATATGGAGATAGTAGTGGAAGTGGTGTGACGTGTGTAATTATCCATAATCTGATTGAATGGCCCAGGAGATTTGACAGGCTTACTCCTTTTCCTTTGCTCCAAAGCATAGCCGAAGGTATTTGTCCTGTTTATTACCAAAGTTGACTTTCTGTGAAATCAGCCAGTAATGAGCAAATCCAGCAAGTTCTTTAAAAAAAATGCTGAGTGGTTAGCACTGCTGTCCCTTAGCACCATGGACTTGGGTTTGATTCCAGCCTCGGGCGACTGTCTGTGTGGTGTTTGCACGTGTCTGCGTGGCTTTCCTCTGGGTGCTCCCACAGCCCAAAGAGGTTAGGGTGGATTGGCCATGCTAAATTGCCCATGGTGTCTAGGAATGTGCAGGCTAGGGGAAATTATCTTTGGCGCGAACCATCTCGTTCACATTAATAATGATGTGAGCCGTAAACCAGTTAGCATTTTGCCGTCGAGATTTCACCAAACAGATCAGAAACTGAAAGACGAGATAGTGGGAACTGCAGATGCTGGAGTCTGGGATAACAAGGTGTAGAGCTGGATGAACACAGCAGGCCAAGCAGCATCAGA